CGCCATCTTCAGGCGTATTTGTTTTGCAAAGTGCGCATGGTATGTACGAACGGGACGCACTGAGATGAAAGCGCAGACTGTCTGTCACGGGAACTGAAAATGGCAAAATGCTCTTTTCGTGTTATGCATATGCATTGATTGGATGGTCAAGGGGAAAGTGGGAGTGTCCCATAAAGAGATGGGAGGGGAAGCGTAAACTACTTCTAATTAGGTATTCCACGTTATGTACAGAAAAAGCCGGTGAAAGCGCACCTCTATTTTGCGCTGAAAATTATTTTGCTCCTCTTAAAAGGAGGTTTTTGCCACAAGAATCACACTTTTTCAGTTTAGTGAAAACAAAATCATTAAGCGTTACAGATTAACCAGCTACGCAATATTAAAGTTACTGGAAGAAATCAAAGATGACTTCGAATCTCAGACTCAGCGTTCACATTCCCTTCCAGCAGTTGTTGAACTCCTCGCTGCATTACAATTATTGGCATCAGGATCATTTCAAACAGTCATATAGCATCAGCAGTGAGAGGAGGAGGAGGAGGAGGCCCATTCAATTGCGCGTCTAAATACACACAATTTACGGTATAGTGTGTGTGGACAGGCGCTTATTACCTGAATACCTGCAGGTTTGGTATACTGTATAACACGCACACTGCGGTCTTGGCCATGGCGCTATTTATGCTGCAAATGTACATCTGGCCCAGAGTGCTAACGATTGGCATCTTTTTAGACCTTAGAAATCAGTGTACAGCTCTCATTAGAAAATCTAAAGCTGCAATACTATTTGGCACAAACGTTAATTAGCTTGCTTGACCATTCGAAATTCTGGAAAACTATTAGAGCACTACAGAATAGGAGAGTTAACAGCTCTCACCAGCTGAAAATAGGAAAAGATAACCAAGCAAAGGGATATGCTAAATGCTTTTTAATGGTCATTTTGAAAAGGCAGGACATATCTTTGAGGATACAGTGTGTGAAACCTCTTTTGTTCAACATAGTTTGCAGGAAACAATAGGTGAAACAATTCAGCGAACCCAACTCGCAGGAAAATTATATTTCTGGCTGAAAGATCCCAGCCACGACAAGGAGAAGTGGTTTCTTATTCTGCTTCTGCTTTGAGCTTGCACTATTCTTTGAGTCAGATGTTTTGCAGAGCATTGATTCCAAGAAGGCTGTGGGGCCAGATGGACTTGATCGATGTTTTGTTAAAAATGGCAGCAGAAATGATAGTGAAGCCACTCACATCTTTGACCTATCCATTTACACATATTTCCTGGAAGAAGGCTTACATCACGCCATTACCCGAAAGATCCATCTGACAAATAATTATAGGCCATCTCAAATCTTTTTGTTTTAGCAAAGGTTTTGGAGATTTTAGTGTCTGATCTGGTTTCACAAAATACCCTTAACGACATGCAATCAGGTTTTAGATCTGGCCACAGTACAGGACAGCAGAAGCCTCTTTAAAAGTTATTGATGATATAAAACGGTGATTTATAAAAAGTTATTCTGAATGGCTGTGTTCATTGATAACCACTTCATGTTAATCAAAACCCTGTTGAATATTGTGTTGAGCATAGAGCTGTACAATGGTTCTCTCTGAACGAATACAAATTGTAAGGCGTGGGAATTTAACATCTGACCCTGTTGTCCTAAAAAAGGGTGTTCCACAAGGATCAGTTTTAGGTCCTTTGCCTTTTATCATCTATTTAAAAAATGTTTGCAGTGAGCTGATGATAGAATTATGTATTCCTGTGCCCTTACACATGAGACTACATGTGCAAATTTGCATTTAGACTTTGCTTCATTACAATCTGCCTTGTTTGATTTGAAACTACTTTTAAATGCAAAGGTGACTATATTTGTACCTATAAATAGCAAACACAGAACGTTCCCCTAACGTTCCCGAATGGTCCCATGAGGTTATTTTTTTTGGGATCCAAACAAGAACGTTATATGGAAAAGTTCCATGTAGGTTATTTTTAGGTTCCATTTTTATAACGTAAGGAGAATGTTGCGGGAACGTTCCCTTAACCTTAAGGGAAAGTTCTAGGAACGTTCTGGGAACCAAAAACTAACGTGTCCAGAACCTAAATTTGTTTGCTGGGAAAGTCCCAGCTCTTGTTATTAACACATTGCAAGATGAAGCCATTGAACTTGTTGATTCTTATAAATACTTGGGTATCTGGCTGGACAAATGTTTTATCTTAAAAAAAAACTAACATATTAAAGCTCTTGCTACAAAACTTAAATTCACTCTGGCATTTTTATATGGATTGAACATATTTTAGGACTACACTAAAAAACTGGTTGCAGGATTATTCAGATTCAACTTTATTGTCATTGCACAAGTAAGGACAACCAGTACAACGAAATGCAGTTTTTACATCTAACCAATAGTGTAATCATTAAAGTGCTTTCCTTTTATAGCAGTGCTTAAAAAATGCATTACACAAAATGCAGTATGATCATATTAGTCCATTATTAACATGCATTAGCAATAGAGTACATAAAGTTCTGAGAAGTCATATGGTCCATGTAAGTAGAGATTATCATATATAGTGCATTCCTGTCTCAGATTATGGTGATATCATCTATCAATTTGCTTGTCCATCTACTCTGTCAATGCTTGACCTTCTTTATCATGCGGTAAATTGGCCGTCACTCAAAGTGCACAGGATGCTACATTGGCACATTTTCATTTATAAAGCTGTTTTAGGTCTTTTGCCGCCTTATAGCTGTGTATAATTTGTTCATATGCAAAGTACATATCATTTAAGATCTAGTGACGACTACTTTGTAAGGTACCAAAAACGAGGACAGAATGCATTTTTACTAATTTTTTTACTGCACTAATATTAATTACATAAATGCATGATGATTATTGTTGGGTTCTCATTGCAAAGTAACAAAGAAATTCACAGCAGATTCAGTCATTTTGCTGCAAAAATCTGAAAAATTACAATAATGTCTTACAACGTACTGTTGGTGCTGTGGTATATCATAAGGTACGGTACTGAACTTATGATATTTACAGTGCAGGATACTCCAAAAAAAGATGATTAATATTCAGTAATTTTGAATTCTGATAATGTCAGATGAGAGGAAACAAGAGCTGAATTGATCTGAATAATGACTCAAGATTAAACTTGTTAAATAATCAATTAATTTTTACATACATTTTCCAGTTTATTTCTGTGAAGCTGCTTTAAAACATTTTTTTTTTTATTGTTTAAAGCGCTGTAGAAACTTTTTGAACGCCTCCAATAGTCTTGAGTTTCTTCCGGGGACGAACACGTCACAATATTCATTTAAAATTATTCATATGCAGAATAAAGGGGCGGAGCCTGGTTGAGTTAGTTAGTAGTAGTGTGTTAAACTCGGGGTTTTGGTAAGGGGTGGGACTTTTCCCCAAACACACTTGACCAATCACAACACACTGATCCACCCAACCAATCAGAGCACAGTGTGCTTTTCAGAAGGAGCGTTACTGACAGACTGGGAAGAGAGGAGCCGCAACAATGGAGAATATGATGAAAATAATCAACATTCAAGCAGGAAAACCTGCTCTAGTAGAGACAAAAAGAACATAAAGACTTGTGAAAGGGCATAACAGTTCCTCTTTGATATCTGTAGGTGTTTGACCCTTTAACTCTCGTAACTTTGTGCTCACTGACCTCTACATGCGGTTCCTTCTCAAACATGCTCCACTCCTCCTCTCTCTCTCGCTCTCTCTCTCTCTGAGCGGTCCGTCCACGCCTGGATCCATGTGGAGAAGTGGATCTTTATTCTTCAGGCTATATGACACATATAGGTCAAGGTCACATACTTCCCCTGCCATTTACGGTGACTTAGTACTAAGTTCCCAGATTCCTTAATAAAGACCATGAAATGCCAATGAGGTCATGAAAAACGAGAACTGTTGAAGCTCTGATCGTTGAGAAACCGAGAGAGAGAGACATAGAGAGAGAGAGATAGTCTTTGACCTGCACATGGGTTTGTTTATGACGTTTGCAGCTGTTTTTGTCTCACTGGACGTTTCACTAAACATTATGTGTGGAACTTTAAACTTTGTGTGGAAAACAGTTTCTTCACAAGCGTGTCCTGCTAAATATTTGAGTATTTCTTCAACATTTGAAGATTTGTGTCTGTTAAAAGAAACAGGAAAGTGCATTAAACAATACTGCACCTTTTCCCCCAAACGCATGAATATAAACACACACATTCTTAATGGAAACTTTTTCACATAAGCACACGTCACGAAACATATATCAAAATCTCTATTAGAATCTCAAAATCAAAAAAAAAAAAAAAAAAAAAAAATGAAAACTGTTTTATTACCATTTTATATTGACCTTTTTCGTGACAATTGATTGATTTTACCCCCTCTCTATTAAATATTATTTTAATTGTAAAAAAAAAAAAATTGTATTATAGACAATAAGGATAATTACATATCTATATGCTTTATAAGCATGTATTATTTTTTTTAAATAATGTCCCAATTAAGTCACAATGTACCATAATCTTGCTTAATGCAAAATATAATTTATGTGCATCACATTTGTTATATCCTTTATTTTCAGTGCATTTGGTTTGCAATTTGTATATTTTACATGCATTTTTATGCAAGTTGTCAAAGAGCTGAAAAATATTCCTAATTTATTAGATTAGTAAGGAAGCTAGAGAAATGTAGAGAAGGAAAACGTGTGTGTGTGTATGTCTTATATACACATATATTATTTGCAAAACATCTTTTTTAATATTAGATTGATTTTGGTGGTGAAACATGATCTGTTTTCATGAGTTGTGAATTTACACATAACAGAAAGACCAGTTAAATATGGTCGGTCACCTTGATCCATGTACAAGAATCCAAACACGCGACACTCAACCCTCTCTCTCTCTCTCTCTCTCTCTCTCTCTCTCTCTCTCTCTCTCGCTCTCTCTAAGTTCCCTCCCACTCTTGGTGATGCTCGCCCCTCACACTGCACTCATTCATTCAAATACAGAGCCGCCCGCTTGATCGAGTTTACTCTTCTAAAGAGCTTCTGGAGGCAAATACTATTACAGTCAACACGCCACAGCTGACTTATTATCTCATGCAAATCTGCTGCAAGTGCTGAACTTTCCACCCTGTGTGTGTGTGTTTAGGAGGAGAACCTCACACACACGTCCAGCTGCTTTCACATAAGAATCGGTTTGTCAGCCTCAGCTTTATCACACCTGCACCATGAGGAAAGGCTCCTGTTGCATGTTCTCGTCCGGAGTCATCGGCGCTCTTCTCCTGGTCTCGGGAATCGCCCTGTTTGTGTCCGGTGTTTTCCAGACCTTTATCCACAACAAGCTGAAGAGGGTGAGTGCCTGTTTTCATGTCGATGCATCATTGTGGAGTTACTTGTGCTTAACTCTGTGTGAGGTTTGGGTTGGATTGCTGCTTGATGACAGTGAACACTTTTTGTCAACCACAATATTGGAATTTTTAAATGTGTATAGTATTTTATGTTAAGTTTTTTTCTTTTAATTTAATTGTTATGTTTTTATTTAGTTTTTATTAAGTATTTTAAAGTGTTTTAATTAATCATGTTTAATGTTAAATATTTATTAAAATTTTTGTGATTTGTTTTTTTAAATGTTTTATGCAGAATTTTTGATGATTACGTTTACTTTTTATGATTTATTTAATTTTTAGTAAGTGTTTCATATTTATTATTTCTATTTTCAAATTTCGATTTTTTTGTTTATGTAAATTTTAGTAGGTATTTTATATAGATTATTTTTAGTCTTAAATTATGTATTTTAATTTTTAGGAACTGTTTTGCATTGATTTTTTTAATTATTTATTTTAATTGGAAAGATTTATTTATTAAGTGTTTTATGTTAATTATTTACATTTGCAGTATTTTTGTTTTATTATTTATTTACATTTTTATTATTTATTTAATATTTAGTAAGTGTTTTATATGATTATTTTTTATATTATTAATTGCCATTTTTATGATTTATTAACTTTTTTTGTAAGTGTTTTATATTGATTTATTGATTTATTTTTAAATTTTATTTAAGTTTACTTCATTATTACCATTTGATGAGCTCGGGCACCCCAGTGAAATATGGCGTGGCGGGAAACGAGCACGATGTGTTCAGGCGTCAGGACACATGGAGCATGTGCTCATTCGGTGTAATCAGAGAGTGACGTGTAACATGTGCTCAGTGTTTCTCTTCACCACATTCTGCATTTGTCCGCGTGCACCTCTTCCTCTTAGAGCTTCATATACTGTAAATGTCACGTCTGTAGAAATCACATGATAGTTCATCAGAAAGGGTAGAGGACGTTCTGCTGAAGTAATCAGGAACAGAAACACCTCAATATAATTCTATTTGCACAAATTATTGTATTGTCAAATCAGCCGTTTAAACGTGTTCTGACTGTCTTTAGCTTTAACAGCAGATCCCAATGCTGTGTTTGTATGTAAATGTCATCGGCTGCAGGAACAGAAAACGCATTGTGTGCGTTTTCTGAATGTGATTTTTCACAGGGATGAGTGTGTGTCTGTGTGTGTGTGTGTGTCTGTGTGTGTGTGTTGTTTCTGTCCATGAACACTGCTGTTCTTCTGCTGAAAGATCCTTTTACAGTATGTTCAGCTGATTGTCTTAAACTCCTAGTTCATGCGACTGTAGACTGAAGTTTGTCTGACTGTCAGTTCATTGCATTTCTCTTGTCACTTGTCACTTGTTACTTGTCGTGATTTAGTGAAACTTACTAGCAATTTCTGAGTGAAAATAATTTCTACTCAAAGTTTTCTTTCAGTGCAGCAATAGTGCAGATTGTTTTTTTTTTTATTGTAAGAGGAAGTTCTTTCCCAGAGTAGCAATTAACCCTCTCAAGTTCAGCCCACAGCCGAGAATAACGGTGCGGATTGAAGCGGTCAGACGATCTGTTTGAGCCACCCATGTTTACTGACATGTTTATATCCTAGACATCAAACTCCTCATATAAACCTCTACTTTCATCATGTCCTGCAGATGTTTGGAAGAGTGAAACACACTCTCACACGCCCATCAAGATTGTCCACATTGTCCGTACTGGTCCGAACTTTATTCCAAAAAGGTCCAATGTGGTTCTATATAGAACTCTAGGGTTCTTGTCTCAATTTAAAAAAAACCTTTATGCCAAAAATGTTGAATTGGGTTCTAAATAGAACTCTAGGGTTCTTGACTAAATTTTAAAGCAACTTAACGCCAAAAAGGTCCAATAAAGTTCTACATATAATTGTAGTGTTCTTGACTAAATTTAAAAGAGCCTTTATGCCAAAAAGGTCCAATGGGGTTCTATATAGAAATCATCTCAGTTACGTAAGTAACCTTCGTTCCCTGAGTACAGGGAACGGAGACATGTCATCGGGGAGTTCCCTGACGAATTTGGACCCCTAATAAAATGCCATGGTGCTGGCCCCTTTCAGCGCCTAGCTACGCAGTTTCAAAATAACGGGAGCTAGCTATGGACTCACACTGCTGTTCCACAAGACCCATTCAGTGGACATTGGATAACACTGGGAAAGCGTGCCCTAACCCAAAAAAAGGGAAGGGAACGCTGCGGAACCAGACACCCAAAGAAGGCCTGGAATACACATTTGTACTAGCCCAGGGGGGCCGTGAAACATGTGGCAGTCCCTGAGGTAGTTCCAATCCAAGGGGAGTGGGAGCGTACTCATCAGTGGACGCCCCTGAACCTGGGAGGCCGACATACAAACTGAATTGCAAAGCCGAACCGAATGGTGCGGATGAGCCATTGGTACGGACCCGGAAGCGCTAGCCAGGCCTCCAGGTACTGACCCAACTAGCCCACCCGCGGAGGGGCAGCGAGGTGGAAGACAGGGACCCGGCTCCAGTGGAAATGTAGCCACTGGAAGCGGGGTCTGGGTGTGGAGCTCGCCAGGGACCTGCTTTCACCGGGGGCAAATGGCAGAGAGAGCCTGTGGACTTTCTGCTGCGGGCTGCCCCGTGGCGAGGCACGAGGCCCTGCCTCCTCGTGAACTGGTCTCTGCCCCTCAGGGCCCAGCTGCCGACAGGAGGAAGCGTCGCAGCTATCCGCAGACTGGGAAGAGGGGAACGAGAGTGATGCTGCTCGGAGATGGCATCCACTGCCATTCGGGCCCTCTTGTGTGGAAGAGACTGTGTGCCTGTCAGTCTCGACCGAAGATGACCTGACCTGAACTGCTCTACAGTCAATTTTTTGTTGGCTGCTCGCAGAATGCAAAGATTGCATGCCAATTTTTATTGGCTCGTTTTTAATTCCCTCGAAGGCAATTAGGCTCCCTAGCGTGATCCCAATTCGTCAGGGAACTCCCCGACGACACGTTGGAGTTCCCAGGACGAAAGGGAACTAGGGTTTTTGACAACATTTTAAAGAAACTTTATTCCAAAAAGGTTCAATCCGGTTATATATACTGTAGCACTCTAGGGTTCTTGACTAAAAGGTCCAATGCAGTTCTATATAGAAATCTAGGGTTCTTGACAACATTTTAAAGTAACTTTATTCCAAAAAGGTCCAATGCGGTTCTATATAGAAATCTAGGGTTCTTGACAAAATTTTAAAGAAACTTTATTCCAAAAAGGTCCAATGCGGTTCTATATTGAAATATAGGGTTCTTGACAAAATTTTAAGGAAACTTCATTTCCAAAAGGTCCAATGTGGTTATATATAGCACTCTAGGGTTATTGACTAAATTTAAAGAAACTTTATTCCAAAAAGGTCCAAATGCGGTTCTATATTGAAATCTAGGGTTCTTGTCAAAATTTTAAGGAAACTTCATTTCAAAAAAGTCCAATGCGGTTATATATTGAATATAGGGTTCTTGACAAAATTTTAAGGAAACTTCATTTCAAAAAGGTCCTATGTGGTTATACAGTGGTATGAATAAGTTTTGGCACCCATGCTAAAGTTGCCTAAAAAGAGGAATAAAAAATCATCTTTTGGATATTGATCTTAATGCCTTAATTAGAAAAATGAGGAAAACTCCAACCTTTAAGGACACAAATTTTCTTTGTGAATGAATAATGTATCATAAATAAATAAATGTTTTTCCTTAAAATACAGGGTGCATAAGTCAGGGCACCCCTATGTTAAATTCCCATAGAGTCAGGCAAATTTTTATTTTTAAAAGCCAGTTATTTCATGGATCCAGGATAATATACATCCTGATAAAATTCCCTTGGCCTTTGGAATTAAAATATCCCCACATCATCACACACATTCCACCACACCTAGAGATTGGCATGGTTTTAGTACTTCAGTTAGCCTAATAGCTGGTTTGATTTGCATTGACAGATGATCTTATGGAAAGTACCCCATGCCAATCTCTAGGTGTGGTGAATGGTGTGTGATGATGTGGGGATATTTTAATTCCAAAGGCCAAGGGAACTTTATCAGGATGCATATTATCCTGGATCCATGAAATAACTGGCTTTTAAAAATAAAATTCTGCCTGACTCCATGGGAATTTAACATAGGGGTGCCCTGACTTATGCACCCTGTATTTTAAGGAAAAACATTTATTTATTTATGACACATTATTCATTCACAAAGAAAATTGGTGTCCTTAAAGGTTGGAGTTTTCCTTATTTTTCTAATTAAGGCATTAAGATCAATATCCAAAAGATGATTTTTTATTCCTCTTTTTAGGCAACTTTAGCATGGGTGCCAAAACTTATTCATGCCACTGTATATAGCACTCTATGGTTCTTGACTAAATTTAAAGAAACTTTATTCCAAAAAGGTCCAATGCGGTTCTGTATTGAAATCTAGGGTTCTTGTCAAAATTTTAAGGAAACTTCATTTCAAAAAGGTCCAATGCGGTTATATATAGCACTCTAGGGTTCTTGACTAAATTTAAAGAAACTTTATTCCAAAAAGGTCCAAAGCAGTTCTATACAGAACTCTAGGATTCTTGACTCAATTTCAAAGAGCCTTTATCCTCATCATAGAATGATAACCCCTAAAAGGTTCTACATGTGAAACGCCTGATTAAACCCTTTGCACCACTGTTATTGCTGTTTTTAATTAGTTAGAAAAGCAATGAATTTATCATCACAGATATTATGAACAATTTTTAGGCTACGCTCGCCTGTGTTCTTGGCGTCAGTTTGTCTGATCTCATTCCGTCAGTTCTACAGAGAGTCAAACACAATCCACAAAGTATATAGTAGAGTACAGGCCTGAGGAGGAGAACAGCAGTGGTTTGTTCCCCACTTCCGCCTGTTAAGAACACTCACTGTAGTTAGTGGTGTTTGTTGTGTCAGCACCGAAACATCTGAGCTGAAGTGTTTTTCCTGTACTTTACTATGCAGATACAGTAAGTATGGTTAGTTGCATTTTCTAATCTGCATTCTGTTTCCCCTGCTGGCACCATACAATCACTTCTACTATATGAGTTTTCCTTGTTTATTTCATGAAATGCTTTCGATCGCAGAAGGGAAATGAGAAATCATGTCTATAGCAGAGTAAAGTATGCACTCAAATGTTTGGGGTCAGTAAGATAAAAAAATAAATAATAATAATACTTGTATTCATCAACGCATTAAATTAATCCATATTGACAGTGGAGACATTTGCAATGTTATGAAATATTCCTAGTTCAAATAAATGCTGTTGAACATTCTTTTTAATCAAAGAATCCTGAAAAATAAAATACATCCCAATAATCATCATATTAGAGTGATTTGGGAAGGATCATGTGACACTGAAGACTGTAGTAATGATGCTGAAAATTCAGCTTTGATCACAGGAATAAATTACACTTTACTATAGTTTCAGCTGATTAACATTGTAATCATTTTTTTTTTTTACAATTTTTACTGTATTTTTCATCAAATAAATGCAGCTTTGGTGAGCAGAAGAGAGTTGTTATTCTAACAGTAGTGTATATATATATTTAAATAAGTATGATTCTTTGGATTGTGAAGCTGGATTTTGACATAATAAAAATACTCTTTTGGCCATTGAAAGTGTGTTAAATAGCAGTGAAGCTTAGATTAGTATAAATGTATCATTGTTCTGGACAAATACTTCAGCGTTTTTTCTAGAGCTCAGGGCTGGTGGAGTTTAACATGAGAAAAGACGTGAAGAAAAGAAATGTTCAGGAATGAGTATTAGCTCATGGTCATGTGATCTCTGTGTGTGTGTGTTAATGAGGGGGTCATTCAGTCCAGCATTGTGTCTGTGTGTCTGTGAGAGTTTCAGTAGTTTAATAGAAACTCGTTGTGCTAAATAAACTCTTAATGCACGTTTGCTGACGGTTAGTCAGTTGGATGTGGTTTAGATGTGGAATGCTCTGGCCGTCTGATCAGATTGTGTAGTGTTGTCGTTGCTGGACACATCATTTAGTCCTTTATATCAACCATTTTGAGATTATCCGCCTATAACTGTGCTTGCTTGCCCAATTAACCGAAGTGTCAGCATATATCAGCAGATTTCCTGATGTCGGTTTCCAGCACTGGATAAACCTGATATGATTACAGTCGGTCTCCATAATGATGAATCATAACATTCAGTGATTCACAGTGAGGCAGTGGAGGTTTATGACAGGTCGTTTGACAAGCATTATATAGATAATTAAAATTATTGTTAATCGTATATGCAGCACAACTGTTTCCAACATTGATAATAATCATAAATGTTTATTAGCATCAAATCATCATAATAGAGTGAATTGTGAAGGATCATGTGACACTGAAGACTGGAGTAATGATGCTGAAAATTCAGCTTTGATCACAGGAGTAAATTACACTTTAATATATATTCACATAGAAAACAGATGGTTTAAATTGTAATACTATTTCAAAATTTTTACTGTATTTTTGATCAAACAAATGCAGGCTTGGTGAGCCTTAACATAAAAAAAGAATTATTTTTTCCAAACGCTTGACAGGTACTGTAGTTATTAGAAATACACAGTTTAACATAATTATTGTGATTGTTCAATTAAAATCAAGTATACATTGCATCTACTTTTCAACTTTTTAAAATAACTTATTTGATGATGATTATTATTATTATTATTATTATAAAGTGTTGAATTAAGTGTCAGTTCTGTTTTCCAATCCAGTGTCCCTATTAGTAGAGGTGTGAATGGACGTTAACTGTCTTGGGGTGGGGGGTTGGGGGGGTGGATGTGTCCAAGTCGTCCATTCCCGAGGATGAGTCGAAGTCGTTCATCCTCGGATGCGGCGCCGCGCACGTTGTTACAATTACAATAAGCCAAGCCAAATGAGATCTTGCCGGTTTTGCTCACCCAACTTGTCATTTTTGCCGCGCTCGTAAGGCTTTTACTCCACGTCAGCACGCGCTCTGATCGGTAAAGGTGCACAGACCTCTCCCAATCATCTCCTGCAGAAGCAGCCTCCAATCGCACCACTCCGCCTCCGTTTCCTTTGAGCTGATATTATTTAAACATTCTCTATGATAATAGTCTTTTTCTCTCTCATACACATACGCACACACACACACTGTCTTTTTCGTCACACATATATGTAACTTAGGCTAGTTATAAACTCTTTGATGATTACTGCTTTATTTTTAAAGTTATCGGTAAGAATCGTGTAAAAAAATCTCTAATTTTGGGGATGGATTCCGGGAAATCTCCCTTGTTTTCAATGTTCAATGTTGACAGCTATGCACTAGAAACGCTTGCTCGGCCATAGGGGCTGTAACGTTACCTCTGGATGAGTAGTCAGTTAGATTCTCGCTAGTCCTCGACCTCGGGTTTTTGGGGTTGGATTGAAAGAGAGTGAGATAGAGAGAGTGAGTGAGTGAGTGAGTGAGAGAGAGAGAGAGAGAGTGTATGTGAGTCAGAGAGTAGTTGAGTGGGTTAGTGAGTAAGAGAGAGTGAGTGAGAGAGAGTGTATGTGTGAGTGAGAGAGTGAGTGAGAGAGAGAGAGAAAGTGAGAGAGTGAGTGAGAGTGTGTGTGTGAGTAAGAGAGTGAGATAGTGTGTGTGAGAGAGTGAGATAGTGAGTGAGTAAGAGAGTGAGAGAGTAAGTGTGAGAGTGAGATAGTGAGTGAATGAGTGAGTGAGTAAGTAAGTGAGAGAGTAAGTGTGTGAGAGTCTGTGTGTGAGAGCGAGGGCTCTATCTTGCACCCGGCGTAAATGACTTTATACACTGACGCATTTATCATTCCTATTTTGCACGAGTGAGAAAGTGAGAGAGTGAGTGAGTGTATGTGTGAGTGAGTAAGTGAGAGTGTATGTGTGAGTGATAGGGTGAGAAAGTGAGTGAGTGAGAGAGAGAGTGTGTGTGTGTGTGAGTGAGAGAGTGTGTGTGTGCGTGTGTGTGAGAGAGAGAGAGTGAGAAGAGAGAGTGTGAAAGAGAGAGAGAGAGAGTGTGTGTCTTGTGCTGAGTCACTATAATGCTGGTTTCTGGGTCTGTGTTGTTTGTGATCTCTGGCCTGTTTTCTGGCAAACGGGAAGGGATCAATGTCTCAGCGCTCCTCGAGGGTCCAATCACTCGTTGTACAGGCTGGGTCGAGGTTATCTGAGTGTTGCATTTGACCCAGTGCTGGACGGGGGGATTCAGATGGTCTGGTTACAGAGTATCTAATAATTACAGTCATGGTTGAATATCTTTCATAGCACTTGTGATACGTCATATTTCTGCTGGTTCTATGGCAAACGGATGAGAATGAACTTCATCAGTATTTGAGGAATTTAGAAATGTTACATTTGAGTAAGCAACAATGTTGTGCATTCGGTCAGGTGACACCCGTCCTAAATACGGTATCCCACAATGCAATGTGCTCAACTTGACCTTCTCTTTCCAGTGTGATGAATGATGATTTGTAGAACAACAGGACAATTTACTGTAGCATGTTATGTTTTTAATGTTATAAAAATAGCATAAAGAATAGCAAAACATAACATAGTAGAACAAAACATGTCATGTTTTGTTTTTTATTTTGGAAAATAACATAAAAAAGATAACATATTTTCCTTTTATGTTATGTTTTATATTTTACAATATATCATGAACAGAGTTTTGTGTGAGAGGGTATGTGTGAAAGTGAATCACACAACATACATGGTTCCTTGCCACTGTTGCCTTGTTTTTTTGTTATAAAACAACATAACACAGCGAAATATACTGTAACTAATTATAATTTTGTTATTTTTTTATTATAAAAATATCAGAAAACTATGGAAACTTGTTTCGCCACAGAATGAAAAATAAAAAAGGTAATTTGCAACCTTTTATCTCACAATTCTTACTTTTTTTTCCTCACGATTGCAAGTTTACATCTCGCAATTCTGACTTTATTTCTCAGAATGTCGCGATATAAAGTCAGAATTGCCTGATATAAAGTCGCAATTGCAGGTTATAAAGTCAGAATTACGATATATAAAGTCAGAGTAGTCGAAAATGTGTGTTGTAAAGTCAGAATTGTGAGATATAAACTATTCTGAGGGGGAAAAAGTTAGTCTTTTTTTTCTTTAGAATTGGCCTGATAACTCGCAATTGTGACTTTATTTCTCACAATTCTGATTTCATATCTCGCAATTGCGGAATTTAAAATATGAAATATACAGAATTTAGACTTTAACTCACAATTGTGTGATATGAAGTCAGAATTGACTATTGAATTACTAATTGAATTTTTTTTTTTATTCAGTGGCGGAAACAAGCTTCCATAGAAAAACATTACACACAACAACATGTTATGTTGTTGTTTATTTTAGAAAACAACACCAAAAATGATTTTGGAAAACAACATAAAAATAACATGTTTTGCATTTTACAACATATAACATAGCAAAACATAGCATCTTATGTTTTATGTAATGTTATTATTTAGATATATTGTGCGTTTTGTGTGTTCAGGAGATCACGCTGACAGAAGGCAGTAAAGTTTTTGCCACATGGAAGAATCCTCCGCCTCCAGTCTTCATGCAATTCTTCTTCTTCAACGTCACCAACCCTGACGCCTTCCTGACGGGAGAAGCCAAACCTCGCCTCACTGAGATGGGGCCGTACACCTACAGGTACGTCACATGGTTTCATCTAATCAGCAAATCCATGCGTTTCTGTCCTAACCAGCCACACATAAGTGGCAGGGCATTGTTTTTGGTCACATTGTTGGTTGTTTGCAATTGCACTGGGAAGCTCCGCCCACAGTGAGACCTAATTGGTCCAAAATCCCACTCTAAAAAACTGCATAACATGTTTTATGTTGTTTTATGTTTTGTTTAATGTTGTTATGTTATGTTGTGAAGCTCCACCCACAATGAGACCTCATTGGTCAAAAATCCCACTCTAAACAACTGCATAACATAGTATGTTATGTTTAATGTTCTTACTTAACATTACTTTAACTTATCAATAATTTAAGCAGATTCAACTCAATTTTTTAAGTCGGTTTAAAATAATTTAAGTTGAAATGACTTGCCAGATTATACTTAAAAATAGCAACTGAACTTAAGTTTTAAGTTTAAATACTGTAGGTGGAAGTTTTTTACAGGTTAAAATATAACATGTCATGTTCTGGTGTTATGCAGAGTTTTTATGCTTTGTTTTTTTGGGTTTTTTTTTTTTGTTTAAGACAGAATAAGTAGTTTAATACCCATAATGAAATACTGAGAAAGCAATGCATAGTTGCAATTATGGTGAGACGTGTTCAGAAATGCATAAACACACAGAATCGAGCGAGCGCATGTGTCTCGGTTTGCTTTGGCCATGTGACAGAGACAGAGTGAGATCATTCTTCATGATCATTTGGCTTGTGATGAAGCTCAGTAACACAGTGCTGACGGTCAGATCCGAGTCCGCTGCGGATCTCAGCACAAATCTGGAGATGCTGTTCAATCTTAAAACACTCACAGCGAAAGTCCAGCGTAAGCTATTCACAGTTTCCTGAGTCCTTTGGCGTAATATCAGGCCAGCCATCTAATCAGTTTTAACCAGCTTGAATTAATTAACATTCCAGCATTTTATTGTTCCGTAATTAACGAAAGAGAATAAAACTAACAAAAGCTCATAATGTAGCCTGCAGTTGCATCGTAAAACGGCTGCTATCTGAAGTTATTGCTGTGCTAATATATATCACCGCACACCTGATCTCGCAAATTACTCCCTCTGCATTATATAAACTTTTTAACTTGTGTTTTTAGCATCAATCCCAATCCCAATTTCAACTTAGAATTAAATGATATGTATGTATATATAAATATATATAATATTCATTAATGTAATGTATATATATATATATATATATATAGACCATTTCACAAGATGTAAACAACACTGGTCCAGAAGCACTTCCTGTTTCAGTTTTTTAACACTACATAAAAGCTGGGATAAAATACAACCAACAGAACATTTAAAACTGAATCAAAAAGTTAAACAAACATCTTTAAGATGTTTTCTTTACATGTGAAATAAAGAAAAAAGTTACAAACTGAAACAGGAAGTGCTTCTGGACCAGTGTTGTTTACATCTTGTGAAATGGTCTATATATATATATATATATATATATATATATATATAATATTCATTAATGTAATAAAATAATCACAATATATACTTTATATCCCATTTAAAAATTTGATTTATAAAAAAATTATATATATATATATATATATAATATATATATACTAATGACTGCATAAATATGTGTGTATATATATATAAAGATTAATTTATATTTGATAAACATTTACAGACATTTTTATGTATATTTTTATGTATATATTACACATTATAATTATTTTATAAAATGTAATTTATTGTAATATAATATAATATAGCAACATATAATATTATACAAAGTATTATAATATAAATATATAATCAATATATTTGTATATTATATTAAAATATTTGAATATATATATTTAACTAATTGTTAACATTATATTTGATATACAGTGAGGAAAATAAGTATTTGAACACCCTGGTATTTTGCAATTTCTCTCACTTAGAAATCATGGAGGGGTCTGAAATTGTATTCAGTGCATGTGCACTGTGAGAGACAATCTATAAAATAAATTAAAAAATCCAGAAATCAAAATGTATGATTTTTTAACTATGTATTTGTATGATACAGCTGCAAATAAGGATTTGAACACCTGAGAAAATCAATGTTAATAATTGGTACAGTAGCCACCACCCCCAGGCTTCACAGTTGGTGTTCTTGGGATGGTACTCATCATTCTTTTTCCTCCAAACACGGTTAGTGGAATTATGACCAAAAAGTCCTATTTTGCTCTCATCTGACCACATGACTTTCTCCCGACTTCTCTGAATCATCCAAATGGTCATTGACAAACTTAAGACGGGCCTTGACATGTGCTGGTTTATGCTGTGGAACCTTCTGTGCCATGCATGATTTCAAACCATGACGTCTTACCAACAGTAACCTTGGAAATGGTTGTCCCAGCTCTCGCAGCTCCTCTTGTGTAGTTCTGGGCTGATTTCTCGCCTTTCTTAGGGTCATTGAGACCCCACGAGGTGAGATCTTGCATGGAGCTGCAGTCTGAGGGAGATTTACATTAGCTTCTTCCATTTTCTAATGATTGCTCTAACAGCGGACCTTTTTTTCACCAAGCTGCTTGGCAATTTCCCCGTAGCCCTTTCCAGCCTTGTGGAGGTTACAATTTTGTCTCTAGTGTCTTTGGACAGCTCTTTGGTCTTGGCCATGGTCTAATAATAAATGGAGGTGGTCAGGTGGACATTTTAAAGGCAGACTAACAGGTCTTTGCGGGTCAGAATTCTAGCTGATAGACAGGTGTCCAAATACTTATTTTCCTCACTGTACAAAATATAAATTGTCCATAATTTATTTGATTAAATAAATACAGAAAAAAACATTTAGAATTATTTTATAAAATGTACTGTTACTATTAGGGTTCGGTATCGTTTGAATTTGAACGATTCTGATTCCGATTCTTTGTTTCGATTCCGGTTCCTAACGATTCTCGATTGCGATTCTTTTTAGAGGCGGGGTCAAAAAAGTTTAGCTAACCTTGCTAACCAATGGTCTTTCTGAAGGAAATAATCCTTTCTGAAGGAAATACTCCTTTTGTCACAAATTTTGCATTTTGCCGAGATTTCGTTATTTTTAGAAAAGTGAAGCCACACTTTGGACCGCCGACGTAAGCTACTCATGTTCGACTCGCGCTTATGCCAACACTTCCGGTAGACGCTTCTTCTTTGGTGTTGTTCAGTGGTTTCTTCTTCCGCTCGGCGGACTGTGAATATCGAAACTAGGAATCGAAATTTTAACTTTTGAACGATTCCGGGAAAAATGAAAAGTTAGTCCCGGTTCCAATCGATACTCGATTCTCGATATCCAAACCTAGTTACTATATTGTATTATAATATAATATAGTAACATGCAATTTAACAAAATATGGTATAATGTATATTTAATATTAATTTAAACAATTACTATATATATATATATATATATATATATATATATATATATATGTATATATTAATTGTATAAATTAATATTAAATATGTTATATTATACCATATTTTATTAAATTGCATAAATAAATATTCATTTTATATATATATATATATATATATATATATATATATATATATATATAAAATGAATATTTATATACAGGTTAATAACTAGTTCACTTCTGTCTTTTCTGAAGAATTGTGAATATGCATCTTCAACTCTGAGTGCCAGTGAACAGTTTATGAGCAGTCACAGTTACGCCTGCAGGACTTCACGGCACACCTTAAACAAATATCAAAGTCTGTATCCGTTAACTGAACTAGAGCCGACACTGACTCCAGCGCTGTCCGAGGCAGTACGGGACGCTCTGTTTGCCTTGAACTTGGGCAATCCAGAGCAAACACATTCCAGCAGGGATCGATCTGACCTGAACCTGAGCCATGGACAATGAATCATGAATAATTTAATTTTACTCCACATCCTGTACTTATAGATAATGTTTGCTGCCCTACAATCTTCATTTGCATTATACAGCCATTTTATGGGTTTCATTCTCACGGCCCTTTGCACGCTGAGTGCGGAACTTCATATGCATGTTTTCGTATTCGTCATTCAGTGGCTCTGAACTGTTAAATCATCTCTCAAAATACCCCACCTTTTCTGCTATTGTAGTCATGTGAAAAGTTGTGTTATGAGGAAAATATACTCTTTAATTTTTTGATACATATATTTAAAGTATGATTACAGTTTGAATTAGGAGGCTTTTTTAATTTAATTTCTTAATACATTCCTAAGTGCAAGTTTTCTTGCAAAAAGCCCATTTTCTCAGAAGTCCTTAAAGAATTGGAAAATGACTTTTCTATTCAATCTAGTACTAATGGAAAAGCCAAGACTGTTCATTTATTTAAAATCTTTGAATAATGCAAATGTGGTTTTTAAATATTTTTTTGTTGTTGTTATTTTTGTTTCCTTTGCTCCCCTGACTCCAAAGTGTATGTCTTGTTATTTAAAGCATAATATATTTATATACACAGTATATATACTGTATATATATTAGGGGTGTAACGGTACACAAAAATCACGGTTCGGTACGTACCTCGGTTTTAAAGTCACGGTTCGGTACGTTTTCGATACAGCAAAAAGAAAGAAATGCCAGAGAAATGTCCTATTTGTTTAAAGAAAAATTATTTTTTAAATAAATGTGAGTTTTCCTAGATCTTGAAACTTTCAGGTTTATAAATGGGGGTCATCTTTGAAGGATGAACAAATAATGTTTTGGTCATCAAATTAAAAATAACATTTAAATATAATTTTTATTTATATAATATTTGAATTTTGAAGTGCTGGAAAAAGATGTGTGAAGTACTTGAAAGCATTTCACCATTCCAGCCAAACTGGTTCCAGTTAGTGTTACTATATTAAATCCATGGTGAATGTTGCTGGTCTGTGGACGTAAAGTATTAGGCCTACTAGTTTATTCACGGCACAATGTTTCTCCTGGTTTCCATGACAGCGCTGTTTGATCTAATAGAGATCTACGGTTAATAACGGAGAAATGTGAATGCATCTCACTAGATCTCGCAGCGATGTTATTACTTCAGTGGCGAATTCAAATGTTTTCTTTACCGGATCTCTTAGCGCGGTGTGGTAACACTAACAGTGTTGCTTGATCGAGATTGGCTCGCGCTGCACAGATGTTGCTGGTCCGAACTAATAAACGATCCGTGAAGCAGATAATCCGTGAAGCACAGAACGCAGTTTCGTTCTGCTTTCATTACATTTGCCATTTGATGTTGCGCAACGATGTGTTGGCCGCGTCAGCGCGAATTTTGCCGGCAGGAAAAATGATCCAAGCAATCGTTCGGTTTGTATGCGTACCGAACCGGAAGCCTCGAACCGAAACGGTTCAATACGAATACATGTACCGTTACACCCCTAATATATATATATATATACTGTACACACACAAAAAAACAGTATATACCGTTTTTCTTCGAAAAACGCAGACAATCTAACCCAGTTAAAAAAAAAATGATGACAGACAAAAGTTTCGGAGGTTTCGGAGTTTTGGAGACACAACATTAGAGTTATATTTATTTATTACGTGTGAATAGTTCAGAAGAGGATGTGGACCTTCATTGTGTTTCATCAGCTCTTCATTCTCATAATGCCTCTAAAAGTCAGTCTAATTGGATATAATGCTGTTTTCAGAGAGTACAGGCCCAAACACAACGTGTCGTTTGTGGAGAACGGGACGAAGGTCGCCGCTTATACACCCAAATATTTCGTCTTTGTGCGTGAGAAGTCTGTGGGAGACCCGAGTGTGGATATGGTGACGACCGTGAACATCCCAGCAGTGGTGAGAACAGAGAACAGAGTGAAAGTTCATGAGAACATGGGTAACCTTCATCCTTCCCTCGGGTCATTTTGACCTGGAAAATATTTGTGAAATTTTTGTTAAAATTGAATGTTCATTAGAGTGGGTCCAAGATACCTGGACTTTTTTTGCAATTGAACCATGAACACACATAAACACACACACAAAATGTAATGGATTCCAGAAGTTTTCTGGTTGAAATTTAAAAAAAAGTAAGAAATCCTTCCCTCACGGGTCAATTTGACCCCCTTTTGGCATCAATGGAATGCGAGTAATGCTTCAGTACACATAGAAAAACCTAAAAATGCTCAACATTCAGACTAAAAATTCTAAAACTTTACCAAATGACTGTATGACTGTATAATGTGTAGATGTGTATCTGAATGGACACTGAAAAGAACTGACTTTAGGACCCAGCGGAACAGCTCCTCTGCTCCATATAGAGATATAAGCCCATCTAGAGTCATGAAATATCATGTGTTATTATTATTTTCCACAAGAGGTCGGCAAAGACGCCCTATCTAAGATAAAACAGTTATTTTGAATTTATGTTTAACCCTAAAGCCGCCTTTCCACTGCACACGACATTCGCATACGATTGTCGCATTTCGCCCCCTAGTGTCAGTCGCACGGAACTTTGAAATTGGTCGTGAAGCAACCGTTACCCTAGGATATTCACAATGGTAAAATTAATGATTTTAATAAATGTAATGCATGCATGAATATATCTACACAAAACAAATGACCCTCAATTCATCTCAAATAAAAATATAGTAGTATAAATATTGGTTTAATAATTTTAAAATATTTTTTCTGCTATAGTTAATTATAACCAACATTTTACAGAGCGAGCGTTTACAGAACAACATTAAAGAGTTAAAATATTGGTAATTCTAGCCTCGCGCTCATAGTTTTTATTAGAATACATCATTCCCGGTTGGCCGGTCGCATACGGTCTAGCCGCAGAAGTTCAGATATTTCAACGGATCCAAAGCTCAAAACGGATCCGAATTTTCCGCATGCGCATATGATCGGAACTCCCCGCAGTTCCCGTACGACTCTCCATTGGAAATGAATGACTTCCGGTCCGTTGGCGGTCGTTTGTCGTGTGCAGTGGAAAGGCGGCTTAAAACCGTAATCTGGATAAATGTGGGCAAAATAGTTTTGATTTATTTTTTATTTTTTAATACTTCCCTTGATCTGAGTGGTACAAGACTTGGCTACTTTTCCTAAGTTTGCCTCCTGAACACACACAATTTTTTTGACTCCATTCTACAATGTCAAGTGGGTGAAAAAAAACCCTCCTTAATCTTGTATTTGGGTCAAAAATGGGCACCCATAGAAATGAATGGAAAAAACTGTAATTTAGAGCATTCTAAAATAAGCCAAAATAAGAGACCAGGTGACAGCAAAGTCACTTCATCTCTAGGTTTTAGCTCTAAGAACTTATTGGAATGATATTTTAATGTAGTTAAAAAAGTAAAAAAAATAAAATAAAATAAACCTACATAGTAATTAATTTACATAGAAATAATTTACATAGAAACATATGGTACTTTTTGAAGTAAATAAATTCAAAAATACCCCCGAAAAAAACAAACACCATAAATAGATAGACAAAACTTTATCAAAGACAGTGATATAACATAATAAATATAAGTTAGGATCACACCTGAGTACTCTGTGTCCACATTTGTCCACAATTACAGGATTAAGGGCTATAAAGTGAATACGGTTTGAGGGTTAAAGAATGTGAGGAATGTGCTTAAATTACTATTTATTTGTTATTTATTGATCAAATCTAATAATTTAAAGGTAATAAAAATGAAATAAAATAAGCTTTCTGGACTAAAAAAAATAGGTATAATTTTAGGGCTTCCGCAAGGGAAGGATGAAGCTAGTTAAAGTTTGTTTTTCTCGCTGGCCTGATTCTCATGTTCTGGTTTCCTCACACAGGCCGTGATGAATCGGATCAAAGGCATGGGGTTCTGGGTGTCCTCGGGCATCTCCATTTACATGGGCTCCATCGGCACCACCATGTTCATGACACACACTGTGGACGAGCTGCTGTGGGGCTTCAAAGACCCGTTGCTCACTCGCCTGCGCACCATAAAGCCTGACACCGACGAGAACTTCGGCCTCATGCTCAATGTGAGTCTCAAACATCTGATAAATCACACACACCTCACTCACCCTTGCACTGCACTTTATTCAAATGTTTATATTGTTATTTGTGTTAATTATGCGTATATTGTGTAGTTATACTGCCACATAACAAAGACGTGCACCTGCGAATTTCACTGTCGGTGCACTTGTGTGTGTGTGTGTGACAATAAAGAGAATAAGAAATCTGCAGGAACGTGTGACCGAGCAAACACACACACACACACACACACCAGAGACACCAGAGAAATATTGTATATATACTGTATATATATATATATATATATATTACTATATTGTATTACAATATTGATACTATTATATAAATTAGTAACATGTATATTTATATTTTATAATATAAATATAAATAATATAATAATATAATATAGAAGCATAATATAATTTATGTATATTTATATATTCATTTATGCAATTGAATTGAAATATTTTATCGTATCATAAAATAATAATTATATTATATTTACTATATTAAAATATGTTTAAAAATAATATTACAATGCATTTTGTAATGTCAGTAGATCATGAAAAACTGAATGACAACATATTTTTGAAGTAAATTGATCATTTAACCACATACATTTCAGTTCGACTGAATAGTTTTGTCCTAAAAAAAACAGTAAAATAATGTATTATATCTTTAATTAAACCTTCGTTAATTCTAACATTTTTTTTAAAAAAAATATTAGAATTTTGTTAGAAGAATCAGTGATTTTGTTGTTACTCGATGTGAAAAAAATCTGTAAGAACTTTTGAACTATACAACTATTTTCCTTAAAATAGCGAATATTTTTTTCATTTCCACATGCTGTCGCACAAGTAATCTTAACTGTGGAGCTCTTTGGTGTTAATCATTTTAAACATCGTTAAACTTGTTGTGAGAGCATTGTTAATATTATATATTGTCGTTGTGTTTTCAGAAGAACGGCAGTGATGACGGAGAGTTTGTGTATCACACCGGAGAGCAGAACTACCTGGACTTCGGACGCATTTACACCTGGAAGGGACAAAAGTAAAGCCCGATTGTGCTGGATACTGTATTTGAGGAGGCGCTGCAGTGCCGGTGTTTGACTTCATGTGCTTCTGTCTCAGGATGCTGTCCTTCTGGAAGACCAACCAGAGTAACATGATCAACGGCTCCGACGGCAGCAGCTTCCACACGTTCCTGACCAAAGAAGAGCGACTGAACGTCTTCACTCCCGACCTCTGCAGGTCACATGATCACACACACGCACCCCTGAACTCTGCAGGTCACATGATCACACGCACGCACCCCTGACCTCTGGAGGTCACATGATCACACACACTCACACACAAGACCATGTTGTTCCAAACCTGTATGAGTTTCCTCCAAAACAACAAAAACTGAACAAAAAAATAAGATATTTAGAAGAATGTCAGTAACCGAATGGTTTCTGGTCCCCATTCACTTCCATAGTGTTCTTTCTTCCATACTATGGAAGTCGATGTTGTCCATCAACTCTCTGCTTACTGACATTCTTCAAAATATCTCCTTTTGTGTTCATACAGGTTTGGAACAATGGGCGAGTAAATGATGACAGGATTTTGTTTTTTGGTGAACTATCCCTTTAACATTAGTTAACCACCGTAGTTAACATGAACTAAGAATGAACGATACTTCTACAGCATTTATTAATCTCACTTAATATTCATTTCAACATTTGCTAATACAAAATCAAAGGCTGTGCTTGTTAACATCAGCCAATGCACTGTAAACTAACATGAACAAACAATGAACATCTGTATTTTTAAAGGAGTAGTTCACTTTTAAAAAAAACCTTTGCTGATCATTTACTCACCCCCATGTCATCCAAGATGTCCATGTCTTTCTTTCTTCAGTCGAAAAGAAAGTAAGGTTTTTGATGAAAACCTTTCAGGATTTTTCTCCATATAATGGACTTCATTGGGAACCAAATGGTTCAAGGTCCAAAAGACAGTTTAAGTGCAAACTGTTGAAAGGGCTTTAAACGATTTCAGATGATGAATAAAGCGAAACGATCACTCATTAAAAAGGTTAAAGTTTTATAAGCTCAAATGCTGGCCTTGCTCTGTTCTGTGATGTGCGTTCGTGAATCTCCTGTTCAAACTCGTTTATCAAAATGAACAAATCTTTTTTCGTGTCATTTGGTTCATTCAACGAACAAAATGATCGATTTGACTCTGGAAAAGATTCGTTCATTTTGATGAATGAGTTAGAATAGGAGAGTCACGAATGCGCATCACAGAACAGAGCAAGGCAACCTGAGCTTATTAAACGTAAACTTTTTTTTTTTTTTTTTTTAAATGAGCGATCGTTTCGCTTGATAAGACCCTTATTCATCGTCTGGAATCGTTTAAAGCCCTTTCAACAGTTTGCAGTTTTCACTGAAACTGTCTTTTGGACCTTCAACTGTTTGGTTCCCAGTAAAGTGCATTATATATAGAAAAATCCTGGAATGTTTTCATCAAAAACCTTCATTTCTTTTCGACTGAAGAAAGAATGACATGGACATCTTGGATGACATGGGGCTGAGTAAATTATCAGCAAAAGTTTTTTTTTTTTTAAAGTGAACTACTCCTTTAACAAAGATTAATAAATACTGTACTCATTGTTAGTTCATGTTAGTAAATACATTTACATTAATGCTTTATGATTTGTGAGCGTTCACGTCGATCTTATGTAATTTGTTAAGAGTATGAGCCTCTGAGCAGGATGAGGTCATGCAGATGAGGATGATGATGATGTTGTTGTTGTGATGTTTGTGTGTGATTGTTCTCTATGCTGAACAGTTGTTGGCAGCACATCACATGCGTGCGGTTATTATAGTCTCAGTAAACCACGAGCCATCCGGACCTCCAGAACATGCCGTAATGTGATGGAGAGAGCATCTGTTCAAGACATTTCATGAGAACTTCCTGGAAATTCCTCACATGTTTCCAATGAGCTGCTTGACTCGCTCGACCAGACACCGACTGTCCTGAGGCGTATTTACATTTAGACATGGTTTCTATTGCTTATTATGGGATATTACTACAAGAGATATTTGAGGTACATCAGACTATTATTATTATTAATTAGTATGATTATTATTTATTAAATATTTCCACTAGAAAAATATTAAGTAAATGAAATTATTCATTATTATTATTATTTATGGAATATTTCTATGAGAAAAATTTGAAATAAATTATATTTCTATAAGAGATATTTGAGGTAAATCAAACATATTATTATTATTATTATTAATTAGTATGATTATGATTAATTAAATATTTCTACTAGAGAAATAATTAGTAAATTAAATTATTATTATTATTATTAAAATAAATTAAATAAATTAGGATTATGCATGGGATATTTCCATAAGAGAAATATAAAGTCAAATATTATTATTATTTATTGAATATTTTTGCAAGAGAAATATAAACTATTATTAATATAATTTATGGAATATTTATACAAGAGAAATATAAGGCATTGTCATTATAATTATTATTATTTAAATATTTTCATACACTTAATCACAATGTCTTTGCTGAGATGTCTTTTTAAAGAAGGTTTAGCTGTTTATGAAATACTAGGATCAAGGCTGAAGTAGCTTGTTTTGTATAATTATAGGTTTGTACACAATAAAAGTCAAAGTAATGATTTAGTGTACGTGTTGCTGGATGAACAGCACAAGATATGTTTGAAAATCAGCCGAATGTCTGACACTCCCTTTTAAAATTCACAATATGAGGAAATTACACTTTATGTCTGTCATTATTCCTCTCGACCTCTCCTCCAATAATGAGAGTTCTCATGAAACTGAAGCAAAGGTCCGAACCTCCTGTGTTCCTGACCCGACTCCATCTGGGAATACAACTTTACTCTCATTCCATGCAATATCACTGCAATATCATTACAGAAATGTACGTCTGATGGGATTTTACAATATGATTGCAGTTTTAAGAAAGAGAATGAATTGCTCCAGCGCTCACAGCTTTACACATGCAAATCAACTTTTTTCTTATTTGTTACTTTTACTTTTTTAATTAATTTAAAGTAATAGGGTTATCATTTCCTTAACTTTTACAATAAATAATGTCATAAAATGAAATTATTTATGCATATTTGCATGTGTAAATGATATACATTTAATGAATTATCATTTATTTATTCACAATTACATAATATATATCATTTATTTAACATTTACGTTTTAAAATATATATATATATTTAAAGTAATGTTTTCCATTTTTAATTTCCCCTTCGTATGTTTGTTTTTCATTTACTTTTTTAATTAAATGTGTAGATAATAATAATATAACTTAACAATACTTTTTTTCATAAAATGTACAATAGATGGTAATAATAATATAATGACATCTAATATAATAAAAAAATAATAATAATAAAATAAAAATAGTAATAATAATATAATAAAATAATAAAATCTGTTATTTATTAATTAATTTATTCATTTATTCAGGAAATGCTTTTCTATTTTTAATTTCTCCTCTGTGAGTTTAAAAATGTATAGACTTAATATCATAAACTTTATATAATGCATTATAATTTATTTATTTATTTAACATTTATGTATTATATATTATTTTATAAAACCTATTATCAATTATTTGTCTCTCTTATTCAACATTTTAAGTGTGTTCAGAGTAATGCGGATCAGTTTTATTTCAGATCAATATTTTTTTTACTTTTACCTTTAACATTTTTGTTTTGAAAAATAATTGAATGAATATATAATGTATAATGTATCAGCAATTTATTACGTATAAAAACATTAATTTATAATTTCCACTCTGAATATTTGTCTTTTAAATTTTTTAAAAAAATAAAACAACTTCATATATACAAAGACTTAATAATTAAATTTAATTATGAAATATATCTTCCATTAATTCAGAGTAATGCGACTTAGCTAATGATGTATGACGAGTGACTCTTATTTTACTTCTCCATATGTGTCACCCTTGACCTCCTGCGGACCCCTGTGTCTATTTCCAGCGCGATCTCTGACCCGATCCGCCCATCTTTGTTTGGTGCAGAGAGATCTCCATCAGTCTTGGCGTGACCCGCCACGCACACATGGTTTAGCGAGTATGGACTCCAGTCTGGCGTGATTTCAAGCCACTTTTAACCCAGTTGCTCATTCGCCGCGGAGCCTCGGGTTATTGTGCTGGCGGGAACAGCTGTCCTTGTTCTTGTCCTTTTCCACTGACTCCTCACCTGGATTTAAAGGGAAAGGCGTTTGTCTGAACGGCATGTGTAACCTTTGTACATAATTTAATCAGGCGGGCCGTCTGGAAAACTCATTTCCCCAGCTCAAAACAAACGGCCATGAGCACATAATGAGATTGCGGTTTGTTTCCTAATGCTTCCTTTAAAAGGAACTCTTAGTAAACACTTGGGGTTATCTGGGGTCAAGGGCCTTTTTCAGGGTCAGCAAAATAAGCAATCTGATATTCGGTACAACCTGTGTCTTTTACTTAGAATACACACAAATGTAATTTACACTAGTCACTTCTCTGTCTTTCACTGGCCTGACAAGAACGTCATTCTCATCGACTGTGAACGCTCATGGCGCACGCCTGGTAAACTCGCCGTTATAATAACAATCCACCATGCAACATGCGCACCTGCTCTTAAAGGGTATGTTGGATGGCGCACTGGGGTGCATTTCCCGTACAACGATGTAGTTCGCTGATTCACTATAGGACGATGCATCGTTGGAAAAATCAACTAGCTAGTTACGACTGTTTCCCGAAACCCACTGTCGCAAAGTATCGTTCAACCACGTTGGTTTCGCACGTGGTGGAGTAATAGCTACTTTTAATGAAACCGTTTGAGATCCAATTAACGCTAGATTTGTTTTATATAAATTACAGACATGTCATCTGAGAACTATTTCTAATTGTTCTCAGTTGTTTTGCTTTATTACCAGACTCAATATTTGGCTCGTTCTTACATAGTATGCATGTTCGCAAATGCGCACTTTTCAAACACGTTCAAATCTTTTGACAAACTAAAAGACGTAAATTCCATGTGTATGTATTCTAAATAAAAGGCACCGGTTGTACTGAATGTCAGCTTGCTTATTTTGCTCAAGATAAGGATTTATTACCTCCAAATGTCATGAAATATAGAAACGATGCTTCTAACCACAGGTCGAGAGCTGTCGTTCAGACCACACAACTTTGCGATGCTGT